GTACAATTATAAAACGATTGCAAAACTGTTGCGTTCTACTGAACACATCCAATAAATAAAAAAGTCTGTTTTTTTATTACTGCACTTTCTGAACTGGTACGCACAATGCAATAAGTTAAAGTAAAACAAATATAAAAATGTTTCACTTTAACTTATTGCACCGGTTCAGAGTACAGCAATAAAAAAGAAGCTTTTTATAAAGAAACCTTTTATGAATTCATTGAGAATAATTTTAGGCGCAATAATTAAACTCTTTAGAAATATGAATTATCAATGACTATATACTTTGAAAATGACTATATCTTACATTTCAGTGAAACATGGACAAGAATGGCAAGAAACAGTACGTTTTGGCGTTATTTTTGCAATTATTTTCCAATAAAATTAGTGAAAACGGTAGATCTAGATCCCAAAAAATCTTATCTTTTCGTTTCTATACCTCATGGTATTTTATCGATTGGAATATTTGGTTCATTTGGTTCAGACATATTGGACTGCAAGAAACTATTTCCCGGACTTGAACTCTGTACAATCATCCTCGATCAACACTTCAAAATACCTATATTTAGAGAATATCCTTATTCTTTAGGTAAAAATTCATAATTCTCCCCATTTATTGAATTTTTCTCACTTAATTGCAGATGAATTTTGCAATACTATACTAAATGTACTTTCAATATTTAAATATTAATGTATTAGAATTATAATATGCTTTAAAAAATTATATATATATGTAAAATAATCTACTGAATGCAGATAATATATACATAAATATACATATAATAAATACATTTATACATATATTGGTTGCATTCAGTAAATAATGCAACTTTGCAATTGTTGTAAAATTTTTTAATATGATTAATCTTGCCTTTAGTTCTCTCATTAGATAAATATATAAATTAATCATATTAAAAAATTTTATAAAAATAGCAAAGTTTCTTTTTTACTAAACGCAGCCATTGAATCATTACATCTTATTACATTACATCAATAATTTTTATTTATAGAGGAGATTACTTCAAATAATTTTTTTATATAAAAAATGTAATATATTGTTATCATACTGGTTTGCATATATGTCTGCTTTAAAATGGATAAAAATTATATATATATATATATATTTTTTTTTTTTTTTTTAATCACTGA